TGGTAGGTTTAATTTCTGTTACTAATGAAATTCCTGACATTAATTTCTTCCTTAATTTTACTTGTCTGCTTGCACTGAGCGCCTGCTTTTAATTTCTGAAAACCAAAAACTCCCCAGATTTGTTCATTTTAAAAACTTTGATCATTAAAAAATAAAAAGCACCTTCAGGGCTGGGCACTGTAGCTCACGCCTGTAGTCCCAGCACTTTGGGAGGCTGAGGCGGGAAGATCATTTGAGGCCAGGAGTTCAAGAACAGCCTGAGCAACATAGGGAGACCCCGTCTCTACAAAAAAGAAAATAAGAAAAATTAGCCAGGTGTCATGGCACGTGCCTGTAGTCCCAGCTACTCAGGAGGTTGAGGCAGGAGGATTGCTTGAGGCCAGGAGTTCGAGGCTGTAGTGAGCTATGATTTTGAGACTGTACTCCAGCCTGACTGACAGAGTGCCTGTCTCTTAAGAAAAAAAAGAAAAAGCACCTTCAGGCAGCCATACCTTCCATTTGCACTAGGAAAGGAAAGTGGTGATGAGATTGGCAGTATTTCTGCCAAATGTTTCAGTCCAAAAATTCTTCTGCGGATCCACTTGGGGGCTGGTAGATATGTCCCCGTGAGGATGCTAGGGAGCTTTTATTTTAAATTGAACTTTACCCTTGACCATCCAAGCCTGTCCTGCTGAATGTTGTTTCCATGAATTTGTTTACGTTTGTGTCAATGGTGTGAGCTGTTGTCTTGGTCAGCCAGTGCCACCGTTTCTCTTTCTGATATATGTAATCACACAGGACCCAATTCCAGTTCTAAGTTAGTGCCCTAGTCTTTGAATATCAACACTGATGTTTTCAGAGGTGGGTTTTTCTGGTTGATACAGACTATGCATCATGTTTAGCAGATGGGGTGAAAGTGGCCTAAAACAAGTCTTTGTAGAATACACATGCCCATTTCAGAAATATTTTTTTATTGCTCAGGTGTTGGTTGCACAACTTTTCTAACAGAGGTCGTCAGCTCCAACTCAGCAACATTTCAGTGAGCAAGACGACTGCCCTGACTTCCGTTAGAGCCATGATCTCACGCCGTCACTTACGAACCATGAGAATTTGGCTATAGTTTTCAGATAGGTTGATTTCCTCCTCATTCGCAGCCATTCATGCTCGCACCCTATTATTTATTACCGTCCTAGTCAATTTGCAGCTGTCATCAATACAGAAATGTTTTCCTGACATAAAAAGAAATGGGATCTGACTGTGTTTTGAGTGATTTGCTTTGTTTGGCAATAGGGATTGGAGGCAAATACTCAAAACCTTTTTTTTTTTTAAACTGGAATTGTTTAAAAGCTGATGCAAAACATCTTTACAGATGAAATGTAGTTCACATCCAAGTGTCTGACGTCCCCTGAAAACAAATACAGTGTCGTAGCTGCTGAATCTGTTCAGTTTGTCAAGTGGGATAATGATATTTGGGAGACATCTGAAAAGAAGGTGAATGACTATTTTGCACTTTTGATACTCTTAGGAACAAATAACTTATTTGGCAAATTGTGTCTTTTTTATGTTCTGGGTGGTTTTTTTTTGTTGTTTCGGGGGTTTTTTGTATTGTGAACAGGCACTGAAGCTGATGTTATTTTGTTTTAAGAATATTACAGACTGGAAACAGAAATAAACTATTTTAATGTGTGATAATTATGGGGTAGCCCTTGCATTGCAAGATGATGATTTGGTCATGGACGCATTATCAACAAAACTGAATTTGCTTGTAACTCAACACGTGCTTGAGATCAGCACAGCTTAACTGCGGATTTCAGGAGTTGTTGTCATAGAGGGTACATTGGCTTGAAGAACAGATACTGCAGAACTGAGTCTTGTAGGAAGTGGGTTAGAAGAAGTTTCATTAAGGGCTCCCTGATGTTTTCTGGTTTAGAAGACAGTTTGTGCACCTCCTGGGCTTTTGAGCAGGAACTTTCTTTATTAGGATCTCAATGTGACTTTCTTTCGAACTTGTTATTTATGTTCACAATGGTCCTAAAATCAGGATCCAGTCCTAATCTCCTCAGAGGAGATGATGTATTTTAAAGGAAGATACTGTGGAAATATGGAATGTTTATACAGTATGTTTTAATTTTTTTATTTCATTTTTCCAATTTTTAAATAATCTTGAATGAAATTCTCCATCCCCTTCCCCATTATCCTCCACCATCTTTTAACAAAGGGAAAAAAATCAAAGCAGTGCAAGTGCTTCATTTATTTTTAAGTTAATCCAAACTCCTTAGAAATGTTAGCTGTTGGGGCCAGGCGTGGTGGCTCACACCTGTAGTCCTAGCACTCTGGGAGGCCAAGGCAGGAGGATCGCTTTAAGTCAGGAGTTCGAGACCAGCCTCAGCAAGAGCAAGACCCTGTCTCTACTAAAAATAAAAAGAAATTAGTCGG